TCTCTCTCTCTCTCGCCCCGCCCCACGTCGACGCGGCGCGATTCTGTTTCGCTTTTACGTTGCTGCACCTCGCGCAACACGCGGTCAGAATGTTTCTCCGCCTCGCCGCGTCGCCTGCCTCGGCGTCGCCCCCGTCGCCATCGGACCGCGCCCGCCCCCCCCTCCTCTGTCGTCGCCCATGCTCTGCACGTTGCGCGCCATTTCTCGCCTGCACTTGTCATGTCTGCTGCGCATTCCTCACAAAACGCAAGTCTCTCCCCCTCTGGAACTCGAACTTCGCGAGCGCTCCCACGAGATGCCCGCGCCGGCACCGCTCGCGCAGGTCTCGCGGCATTAATTCAGCCCGACACCCCTCCCAATCCACGGGCCCCCCTCGGACCACCTGCAACAGCTCCTTCGCGCCGGCCATCTCGCCCCCGCCGCGCGGCCCCCCGTCGAAAGGCAAAAACAAACACTGAACTGTCTCGCCGCCGCACGCGCGCGACGGCAGCGCAACTCGACATCCAACTCGCGCCGCGCCCTCTTTCAAGGACCCCCATGACTGCGCCCGTTGCTCGCCCGCGCGCGGCGCGCGCTGCGACCGCCGACGGCGCGATCATAAACTGAGCGCGCTCGACGCTCAACACTGGGTGCTTCCGATACCCGCCCAAGAACCACGGGCACCCTCTCGACGGGAAGACGGGGCACTGCCACAGCCCCCAGCCCAGCACACGCCGTTCCTTCGCGCGCAAGTCTAGCAATACCACTTTAGGCAAATTCATCAACACCTCCTCGTCTTCATCTCCCACGACCCAGGTGATCTGCCAGGGCAACTGGCGCGCCCTTCGCCAGCGGCAGCCACGCTGGCGAACTTGCGCACCCTTTATCGCGGCACCCCAGCCAACGCATTTTGTCCTCCACCGTGCACAGCCGCCTCTGCTTCCCCCCTAGACACGGGCGGTCTCTTGCTGCGACCCAGAACAGCCGCTCTCCTTGCCCGTTTGTCCACTGCACGGCTCTCTCCATCCCGACGTGGCACTCGATATCCTGATTGACATAATTTGCGACATATTCGACAAATCTCCCCTCGCGATATCGCGCGTCGCCAATCGACGTCGCGACGAATTTCCTCTTCTCCCGCCCACCTCTACGAGCGCGGCACTCGAGACCGTCATTTTTGGCAATGGCCCCCGCGTTCTCTCGGCAACGAACGCCGCCGCACTGCGCTGCGCAGTTCACGCGCGACCCAAGCACATCCGTCGACCCCCGCGCAGAAAATTGCGCGCCCCTCCCTCCGCGCCCCTGGCCGAACCTCATCTTGCACACCGAGGAACCAGTCGCCCTGGTCCACCACGCGCTTGCACTCCGTCAACTCCGTCATCTCACGCACTGCCCCGTCGCCTCCAGCTCCTTATAAAATACGCTGCCCGCGGCCCCCCGCGGCACCTGGCGCATAATACCTCGCATTCTCCAAGTGCGACGCGGGCACCGAATTGATTGCGGTCCCCGACGGCGGCTCCCATTGATAGAAATCTCCGCGGAACAGTTCGCGCCCCCGAACGGCCTGTCCACACCGCCCTCTCCTTCCCTTCGCGTCGCTCGCCGCGGACATGCACGACCGCAGATGCGAATCGAGCTCTGCGAGGAAGTTCGCGCCCACCATGCTCACCTCGTCGACAATTAACAACTTCCACTGAGATATCCACTGCGACGCAATTTCCTTCTTCGTCTTCTTTGACTCTGCGCCCCCATCGCCCCCGGCGCTCGGCTGCTTAGCTTCGCCCACGCCCGCGCCAAATTCATTGCGAATCGCATTCCCGTCGAGGGCCAATGCCTCTGCGGCCTGCAAAGCTGCAGCCTGGAAGTCAACGCCGCGCGTCCAACCCCATCTCCTTCTCGAACAGCTCCATCCGAATCCTGCCCAGGACAAAGCTCCCCCCAGTTCCCGGGCCCGCCGCGCAGCACCCGCGCGAAGGGCCCCACGTCGCCGCGCCCCTGCCCCGCCTTCTCCGCGACACTACGCGCCCCGCGCTCGGCCCGCCATCCGCCAGCCCTTTCTTCCACCTGCGCACGCTGGACGCCGTGGCCTGTTTTCCCACCGCCACCTGCGAGGCGCCCCCCCCCCCCCCCCCCGCGCCGTCTCCCTCTTGGGCCAGGACGCCGCGGCCGCCGCCTGCGCCCTCGGCGCCGCAGTGTCGCCCCACTCCAACGCGCCGCCTCCTCCGCGACCCCTTCGCTTCCCGCTCCTCCGACTCACGTCCTCGCCCCGCGCGGCGTCGCCCCTCGCCGTCGCCCCCCGACTTGTTCCTTCTTCGCCCTCTACGATCGCGTTTATCCGTCTGTCTTCTCTCTCTCACTCTCTCTCTCTCTCTCTTCTCTCTCACTCTCTCTCTCTCTCTCTCTCTCTCTCTCTCTCTCTCTCTCTCTCTCTCTTCTCTCTCTCTCTCTCTCTCTCTCTCTCTCTCTCTCTCTCTCTCATCAAAAGGCCAAGTCGGGCGCTCCCAGTTCGTCCACAGGACGCGCGTCGCACAAGCACACGGGGCCCGTCGAAACAATCCGCACCCTCTTCGAAGCCTCCCGCCGATCCGCCTCCAATGTCCCCCGCGGCTTCCCGCATGACTTTTTGTGGCCCAAGATGTCCCGAACACGGGCTGAGAGGGCCCCACGAAGCCCCCAAGACGGTCCAAGAGGGCCCCGAGTCGCCGAAAGATCGCCCCAAGACGCCCTAGATGGCCCCAAGATGGCCCAAGAGGCCTTCCAATAGGGCCCCAAAGGCAAAAGCGCTGATGTTCCTCAGGTTGGTGAAAAAGTGTGGCATTCTCGCCTGTTCGGCTTTCCGCTGCTCCAAGACGGCCCAAGAGGCCCCCAAAACCACCACGAAACGGCCCAAGAGGCTTCCAAGAGGGCCCCAGGACGGCCTAAGAGCGCCCCAAGACGGCCCAAGAGCCACGAGGGCCCCAAGTCGGCCCCAAAAGGAGCCCTAGAGAGGGAGAGCGAACCAAAAATCCGAGCCTTTCGCCCCAAGAGGCCCCCAGCCCCCAGGAGCCCCCAAGAGGCGCGACCCCAAGAGGCTCCCCAGAGGCCCCACAGAGGCCCCAAGATGCCCCCAAGAGGCCCAAAAGAGGCCCCAAGAGGCTTCAAAGCGGCCCCCAAGAGGCCTCCAAGCTTCCTCCAAAAGGCCCCCGAGAGGCCTCCCACGAGATCCCAATGAACATCCAATAGGCTTCAGACCCACAAGCCAGGCTCGGTGGCGGGATGGGCCGAAAGCAATTAGATCCGCCGCCCCCTGCTTGCAGGGGTGCACGGCGTGCTGGATGATTCAGGTTTTGGTTTTGGTTCTTTTTCTAAAAGAACTCCCCAATGGGCTTCGGCCCGTCCCGCCGGCCACCCGCGAATTTCCCAAAATGCGTCTGTCAATGCCCAAAAACGGCCGTTTCGCTCGGGACATCCTCAAAAAATCGCGAAGATGGCCCAAGATGGCCTCCAAGTCCGCCCGAGATGGTCCAAGACGGCCTCCAAAACGGCCCAAGAGAGTCCAAGACGGCCCAAGACGGCCCAAGAGGCCCCCCAGAGGCCTCCCAGACGGCCCAAGAGGCCTCCAAGAGGTCCTCCAGGAGAGTCCGAAGAGGCCAAAATCATTGATTTTCCCTTGGTTTTTGAAGGATTTTGGCATTTGCGCCTTTTCGGCTCTCCGACGGCTCAAGACGGCCCAAGAAGCCCCCAAGATCGCCCAAGAGGCCCCCAAGAGAGCCCCATGATGGCCCAAGTGGCCTCCAAGATGGCCCCTAGAGGGCCCCAAGAGGGCCCAAGAGGCCTCCAACACGCCCAAGATGGCCTCCCAGACGCCCAAGATGGCCTCCAAGACGGCCCTGGAGCATTCCAAGCGGGCCCCAAGTCGGCCCATAGAGGCCCCCCAAACGGCTTCCGACGGCTTCAGACGTGCCAGGAACCCACCAAGATGGCCGAAGTTGGCTCGAAGCTGGCCCGAGACGGCCCAAAAAGCCCCAAAGATCGCCCAAAGCTTGCCCAAGAGGCCTCCAAGACGGCCAAGATGACCTTCAAGATGCCCACGTGTTCCCCGAAGGCTTTCCAAACCGATTCGGGGAACACGTGGTCCGATAGCTTGGCAGGTCTGGCCTCAACGTTCGGCCACATAGGCGCTTCCAAAAAAGCAGGGGGCGGCGGTGATTCGCCGTAGGCGTCTTCGATAAGCATGCATGGAGTTCTACTGTTACGTATACTTAACAGAACTGATCCTCGACAACTAATACGAATGCGAATGCAAAAACGAAAACCGATAATAATAGTATGACTAAAAGAGTACATATTCGTGTAACGACGGTGGTGCTAGCCATGATGATAATAACGATAGTGTTATACGAATACGAATGCTACGAACAAGTACAATGATGATACTACTACGAACAATAATACTACGAATAAGCATGAGACTACGAATATCAGTATGACGAATACTAGCAAGAAAAGTATGAACACAGTGAGAAGAAAGGATAAGAATAATAAAATCAGTAATATCACTAAGATTGCTGATTGTGTACTGCTGATGACACTACTAACTGGTAAGCCTCCTCCTCCTCATCCTCCTTCCTCCCCTCCCACATCTCTCCTCTCTTCTAGTCCGTCCTCATTTTCCCTCTTCCTCCTCCTCCTCCTCCTCCTCCTCCTCCTCCTCCTCCTCCTCCTCCTCCCCTTCTCCTGTCTCCTTTTTCTTTTGCCTCCTCCTTCTCTCTCACTCTCCCCCCTCCTCCCAGACCAGGCACCTGTCCAACTTCTGGGACTGGTGGCCACCACAACCAGGCATGCGTGGGGGTCCTGTGCTCAACTTCCCCTCGTTCTCATCATCACCATCATCATCATCATCATCATCATCATCATCATCATCATCAGCAGCACCATCACTGGAATCATAATCATCCTCCTCATCGTCATCCACCTCCTTTTCCTCCTCGCCTTCGGACACACCCTTGAGGGCTCAGCGGAGCTTGTCCCCAGCCCCGAGCCTGGAAATTGCGAGCAACCGAGATCATGCTGTGAAGCAATCCAGGGAAGCCGTCCGGGGTCGTGGCGTACGCGACGTGCACGACGGGGAGATCAATGCTGGAATTCCCACCCATCTTCCCGTGCCGGCCATGCTGATGTAATGCCACGGACGAAGTCAACAGAGCCAGCACGAGGCGTGCAAGCATGCTGCCTTTGAAGTACATTGGCAGTGATGGATAGCTGTTTGTGCCCTAAAGGCTGCGGTGGAGGCGAACCGACAGACGGCGGCGGCGCACGAATGGTTCAAGCAAACACGGCGCCCACGCGCATCCCAGGTCCCAAGCCGGGCGAAGGGACGGAGGAAGGAGGACGAGGGAAGCGAAGGAGAATGGAGGAAGAGGAGGTCAGGAAGAGGAAGAGGGGAGGAGACCGAGCACGGGGAAGAGGAAGAGGAAGAGGACGACGAGACGCATCGTTGCCTTTGTCGTCGTCACCGTCGTCGTCGTCATCGCCTCCACCGTCGCTGTCGTAGCTGATTTCCGTCATCCTCGTCAACGACGTCGCCGTCTTTGCCGCCGCAATTGTCGTGAGTGCTTGCTTTCCTGCGCACACTTCAGAGGAAGCTGCCGTTACTACCATAATCGGAATTCCCTCAAAACTAATCCACAAAACCGCCGCTCTCATCCCATCAGATCCGTCCCGCCCACCCCCACTGTCCCCATCCCCTCTCCTCCAATTTTCTCCTGAGCACCATCCCGGCATTCGAGACGAGTGCGGATCATGCGGCGAAGGCCCCCTCGTGGCCTACACCGAACTCAAGACTGCGCGAGCAGACGATGCCATATCTGCGATGGGCCCAGCCTCGGAGTCTACGAGAACAAGAGAGGGAGACGGAGGCAGAGGAGAGAGGCCGAGACGGGGAGGAAACACAACGAGACGGGGAGAAAGAAAATATCTATGAGGCGCCGGGCTGTAATCCTCTGGTTATCTGGCTGACAACGTAAATCAAAAGGCACCGGCCCCCCTCCCTCGCCCACACCGTTATCCTCGACGGCACCAGGAGCAGCCTAGACGCCCCAGACTTAAATCGCAAGAGAGCACAGCAGGGCCCCTGCATCCCCAAAGAGGGCCTCAGGAGGCACCAAAGATACCACACGAGTCCCCTGAGAGACGCAGGACCGCCAGTGGCTGGGGGAGGGAAGGGAGATGATCTAAAAGGGCAAGCCAGCGTGATGGTGTTCTTCCTCCTCCTCCTCCTCCACCTCCTCCTCCTCCTCCTCTTTCTCCTCCTCCTCCTACTTCCTCCTCCTCCTCCTCCTCATCCTCCTCTTCCCTCCTCCTCCTCCTCCTTCCTCCTCCCTCCTCCTCCTGCTCCTCCTCGTCCTCCTCCTCCTCCTTCTCCTCTTCCTCCTCCTACCTGCGTTCCTAATATTCCTCGTCATCCTCCTCTTCCTGCTCCTTCTCCTCCTCCTCCTCCTCCTCCTCTCTCCTGCTCATCCTCCTCATCCTCCTCCTCCTGCTCATCCTCCTCATCCTCCTCCTCCTCCCTCCTCCTCCTCCTCCTCCTCCTCCACCTCCTCCTCCTCCTCATCATCATCCTCGTCCTCCTCCTCCTCATCCTCCTCTCCCTTCTCCTCCTGCTCCTCCTGCTCCTCATCCTCATCCTCATCCTCCTCCCTCATGACTCTCCTCGGCCCTCATCCTCCTGGTCATCTTCCTTCCATTCCTCCTCTCGCCCGAGACTTCAAAACTTACTCAAGCACGGCGCTCCCGCCCGAGACGCCACGATTCAGTCAGGAAGCGCGCCCTCGCCTCGTCGCCAGCTGCCTGCTCCCTCGGACAGTGGGGGCGCCCGGACCTCCTCCCAAGACATCGTTTTCTATGTTTGCGACAGCGGCCGCGAACGGCCCCAGCCGCCCCCCCAAGGGATCGTCACGATTCGTGCTGACCTCCGAGTTGTCCTCGGTTGTTCCTAAACGTTCCCTGGCGGCGCCGGCGCGAAACTTGACGCCACCGAACCCCCTCCTCCCCCTCCCTCACCCTAACCCGTCCCCCCCCGTCCATTCCCCCCCCTGCCCCTCCTGACACACTCCTCCCCCTCCCTCTCCACCCCCCTCCACCCCCCTCCCCCCCCCTCCTCCCCCTCCCCATAGCCCAGTAAAAAACGCTCTCTCATCAAATGAGTCGTTTGATCCCGACCCCTCCACACTCGCCCCTCCCCCTCGGAGTCCAGAATGGAGAGAATGCCTCAGGCAAGACGGGCTGGAGAACCTCGCGCGCGGCATCTCGGGGTCCAGCGCTACGGGGATGCCTCACGCGACACTGGCCAGACGACCTCGCGCGCGGCAGCTCGAAGCCCAGAGTTGCTGGGATATTATATCGTGCGACACTGGCCGCACCACCTGTCGCGCGGCAGCTCGGGGCCCAAAGTTCCGAGGATGTAGCAGGCGATACGGGCCGAACCACCTCCGATGCTTGAGGGCATCTCTGGGCGCTGGCCCTCCTGTCAAAGCTATCTCTTGATGCAACAGGACGCCAGTCAGCTCAGCTGTTGCAGGAGCACGCGGCGGAACAAAGAGGGGGGTGAGGGGAGCAGCCGCCAGACCAAGGTGCGGATGAGCCCGAGCAGACCCAGGAACCACACATGTTCTATTACCGAAGACGCCTACGGCGAACCACCGCCGCCCCCTCCCTTTTGGAGGCGTCTATGTGGCCAATCGTTGGGCCAAAATCTTGCCAAGCGATTGGACAATGTGCTTCCCCCAACGCTGTGTCAAACCCATGGGTAACACTTGGGGAAGAAGAGAGAGGAGGAGGAGGAGGAGGAGGAGGAGGAGGAGGAGGAGGAGGAGGCGGTCCCTTGGGGGCCTCATGGGGCATCTTGGGGGCTTCCTGGGGGCTTCTTCCTGGGGGTTTGTTGAAGGCCCTTCTGGGGCCTCCCAAGGCCTCTTAGGGGGTCTTTTGGGGGGCTCTGATGGGCCTCTGCACCTTCGGAGGCGATCTGGGCCGTCTTGGGCCATTTTCTGCATTTTTTATTATTTTTAAAACAGGAATATGATCGCCAGCTAACCCGCCAATTGCAATTGGAGACCGCTACCGCGCCCTCGCAACCCTCGCCGCCCTCAACGATTTGCAAAGCAGGCCCACTTCCCACTCTCACTGCTAGCCCAACATTGGCAAGCACCGCTTATCGCAGACTTTGTCCCGGCCATCATCAAGAACGGCGCCGCCGCGAAGCAGCCTATGTAAGTAAACGCGCAGACCAAAAAAACGGCGCCCACGGCGGCTGCACCTCCTGCCATGGCCCCTATCGGTCCACCTGTGCAACTCGCACTGCGCCGCCTGCGCCGCCTGCTTCCTTTCTGCGCGAGCGCACCATCCATCCCCTTGGCCAAAGAAGCTTTGCGTAACTGCGCCTCTAGGCGCCTCTCGAGGGAAGCCGGCATCTCATGCGATTGGAGCACCTCGACCATCTCTTCACGGCTCACCCAGACGATCTCCGTCCCAGAAAGAATCTCGAAGGCCAGGGTGTGACCCACAGGTGCCTCGCTGACGAAATCGAAGGCCATGCCCATGAACGTGTTTGGGCTTTGCGCTGAAACTGCAAACGTGTTGTTCTCAACCTGGTACGCCGCGGTGCTGTTCCCCATGGACTCCACGCGCTCACTATCATGAGGGCACTGCTCAGTAACATTATCAGTGTCCTCCACGAAGAACATCTTCAGCATCACAGGATTCGCTGTTCTGCGGTATTCCGCTGGTACGTCCATCAACATTGCAGGAGCATCCTTGGTGCCAGCCCCCATAAACGTCACGATTTCTGGCATGTCGATTGCAGCATCTGGGTCGGGGGTCAAGACTGTCTTGATGATATTCCCACGATACTCCACTGTGGCCGTCACGTTCAAGCCTCCATGCCCTGTGTAATAACATATGTTGCCACTGGGGCATGGCAGCAGACCCCCTTTATAGCCGCATCCACTTTCGGCTAGCTGGTTAGCATACCTACGCCATGTCTCGGCCGCACGGACATGGAGCTCGGTCTCCGACGCAGCGTGCTGGTCCATGAGATCCTGGAGCTTTACCATGCCACTGTGACTGTCCGCTTCTTCTGCTGCAGCGCCATGGCCAGCACGCCTGAGCAGTGCCTCACCTGCGGCATTCTCCAGCGTCAAAGCCTGCAGGGGTAGGGCGAAGTTAGCGAGAAGTAGAAAATGCAAGATGGCCTTGAACACCACAGGTTCACCTTATCACGCGTGTCTGTCGTACGATAAAGCAAAAGCGTTTGATGCGACTTGCGCGGGTGTGAAAGGCTTATGCCAAAGTTGCTAAAATGGCTACGGAGGCCGTTTTGGGGCCATATTGGGACGCTTTCGGGCGATCTTCGAAGTCTCCAGGACAGTCTTCGGGCCCTCTTGGCTTCGTCTAGGCAGCCTGTCAGGCCGTCTCGAGGCTTGGCCCGTCTTGGGGGTTTCTGTGGCCGTCTTTTTTTTTCGGCGCAACTGAAGGCCGCGCGCGGCCAGCCGGATGTGACAATTGAGGGTCAAAGAGCATGCAAACTTTCATCTCGGGTTGCACTGGCGTGCAAATCTGCAAGAAATTGCAAGCCCTGGTCGAGAGCCATGGCCTCAGCGACGAAGGAAGATACAACGTCGACCTCATCCAAAAACACACCAGCCATAGTGACAATTTGCGAACCGCCCCCCCAGACAGCCTCGAGGATCCAAGCTGCAGCGGAGCACGCGTCGCCTCGGCGACCGCCGTCGCAATGGACGACAAGATTCGCGTCTCGAAGCTGACGGCCGGCAGCCAATGGAAAAGATTTCTGCCAAGAACGTTTTTCGTCCATGGTGAAATGTGCTAGGTGGCCTGGCTTCACATTGAGCTCGCGGCGCCTCCACGCGACGGGATCCGCGTGGCACTGGTGGGGCAGGACGCCTTTGTCGAATAGCGTTGCCAAGCGGGTGCAAATACGGTTGAAGATGCGGCAGTTGTCGGAGCCGTCCAAGAGGATGTTCCCCATGATGACCTCAACGAAGGGTTGACAATCACAGATGATGGTGAAACGACCTGCGCCGGCCTCCCAGTTGATCGGCTCATCGCGGAAGTTGACGGCTGCATGTGTTGCTGGCAGGTCCTCCAATGTATATCTCTTCACCCAGAATCGTTTGGGTGGAGTGTAGTCCTGCACGACCGCCTCCGTTGTCGCCCGAACGCACCCCACGACTGGGAGTCCCCATTGGCGGCAGATCCACGCGCT